AAAATTATTACTTCTAGCTCAACCCACAATAAGACATGACATTCATTTGCCTCAAATTTTGCCATCTGGTGCATTTTATTTCATATACACCCAAGTATCGTGTCACAATCTGATGGACTACTGAATACTGATTACAAATAATAATCATATTAATGCGGAAAAATGTTTAACTATCAACTACGAAATCGAAGTTGCACATAGTATGAACCTATAACGGTTTTTTAATTCCATACAATAAAATAGCTAAATTAAAAATTTTATCAAAATGTTTTCTATGTTGAGCCTCTGGAAGACGCCGTTCGGCATTTTCTGCACCTGAGGAGATTTTTGTTATTTTTCTAAAATCCTTATTTACAGAGACGGCAACTATAATGATTTTCTGTGTATGTAAAACATGTGCATATAAAAAGTATATCCCTCTAGAATAGAAATTGGTGAAGTTATGGCCACAATATTAAATAAGCTAATCAGTGTCATCTGCCTAAGAATGATAATTTAAATGATATTGTTGTGCTTCCACTGTCGCAAATGGGTTAATGTAAGTATAGTAGGTACACATACAACACTATATAAGGCTTATAGCCTAGTTGGCAACCATCGCCCAACTATCTCATAAATATCATTTGTTATCAACTATACTTAGTCAACTAAATCTAAGAAATACATTTTGACAGCTGTCAGAGTTATTGCACCAAGCATGCCAACCAAAAAATGGGAATGTACAATATTCGATTCTTGAAAAAATCAATATTATTTAGAGTTGGTAATCATTTACAGTTCGGTTTGAATAATACCAGATAAATTAGAAACGGATAAATTAAAACACAATATTTATCAGTTTCTTCGTATTTGTTGTTACTGCTTATTTCTAGAGACAAAGTTATAAAAATTTAAGATTGAAACAAGATTAAAAATAAATTTATTCAATCACTTTCAGTACAACTATGTAGTTGAGCTGTCATTGTTTAGATTGTTATTTGATTTTCAATAATACAATCAAAATTAATGTCTCTTTCAGTCATCCATAATCAATTTTTTTTGTTTTTTACCACTTTTGCCCAATCATCCTTTGTGACATGGGCACATGCTTCAACAGTCCAAAAAATTAAAGCCGAGTCACAAAATAAGAAGAGATGTATTTTGAATCGTGTGAGTGCACTTGTGCAAAGTTATTGCGGAATGATTAATGTGAAATATCAAAAGGTATTTCTTAGATTTGGTTGACTAAAATTTGCTTTGTTTTCATTTCACCAGCCATACATTTTATTGAAGTCTGGTACTTCTGTAATGTCCACAAGATAAATCACTGCAAAATTCTTTACTTCTTCTGCAATACTATATAATACTTCATCCATTTTCATGCATGTGGGATCCCAGTCATGTCCAAACCGGATTACCTAGAAAGAGACTAATAATTAACACACCTTTTTAAAATTTTAAAATGACAATACTTCAGTAAGCAAAGCAAATATTAGCCCATTAAAATAAGCTACGTCTCAAAAAAATTAATCAACAATTCACCCATGTTCATTTTCGACAAAACCAGCAAATAAAAAGGTGTTAGTATTCAGAAATTTCCAGACTAATCATCACACTAAACTCACCACAACTCTGTCCTCTTCTGATAAGATAGCCTGATCTACTTGCCATCCATTATGCAAATGCCCGAGCATGTAACTCATCTTAAATAGTTTTAATGAATAAATAAATTAAATTTATAAATTTGATCTGATTTCTATACATCGAACGTAGCCAGCTGTCATAATAAATTAATAAAGTCCTCTCCATAGATTACTGTGTATGGTCCTGTCACTTGACACCTTGTATTTATTTATCTATGCCACCTTGTCAGTCGTCACTTGTTTTTTTTTCGTTACTTACAGACTTTTGCAGTTGTGCTTTTGCCACCTATATAAGACAGCGTCTAAAAGGGTAAAATAAATTGACATCGGAGTACACTTGTTTCGTCGTTTGTACTAACAGTTCACATGCACAGACACTAAATTTCATCACTTTTATTTATCAAAATCCACTTCTATTTAAATGATAAAATAGGAGCTCCAAAGCTCCAAGCTCTCTGACTAGTATATAGTTATCTGTGCTCCAAGCACAGAGTACTATTTTGGTCCCAAGTGGCCCCAAGAGCCAGTTGCATAATATTTCATTATTCGATTTCCACTTGTTTTTTTTTTGGTAATAGACTCGTATGGTTGTGCTTTTGTCATAATAATAATAATAAAATATTTATTTGCACAAAACGTGGTACATTTTTAAGTCTTATAATATCATAGAATACTATATGTACGTATTATAATTCATATAATACGTACATATAGTATGCTATGTTAATATAGGTAGTCTTAACCATAGACTTAGGATAGAGTATATTCTAAGTTTGTGGTCTGAATCTGGTTATATTCGTACATATTTTACCGATTTATCGGTATGCAAATATTACGTAGACATGCAATAGAATAATTAAAATTAGAAAATTACAAAATTACAATAACATTTTATATTAAAATTAAATAAAACAATATTTAGGATGTAAAAAAGAGCAAAAAAAATGCAGGCATGGTCATGATAATATATAATGTCAACCTTACAAATTCTATTTCATTTGTCAATTCAAGATTTCAAACATCAGCAACAATGATCCTCCACGAAATATCCTGCCTCTAGCGCGACCCCACTTAAAATGAGGTGTAATATTTGACAATTTCATAGTGGGGAAGATAATTTGTTCGAAAAATGTAAAGGTTAACGTTCCTTTCTGCACCATTAGCTAAATTTTACATTAATTAGATTAAAAATAAATAAACCAAACCAAAGATATTCGTTAAAATGAAAAATTAAAAAAATTGTTCAAAACGTGCAAAAAATTAAAGAACAAACGATTGAGGCATAGAAAATGATAAACTTTTATTTAAAACTAAATGAATCACATTGTGTTTAAAAACTTCACCTCGGTGTCAATGATACAATATGTAACAAAAACCCTGTGGTTCCTGTTAAGTGCGTTATCAGAATCAGTATTCAAACGTATAGAAATAACTTTACTTCAGAAAACTCGACATAAAAATAATCAAATTAAATTATAATTAAATAATATTTGTAAATTTTATGTGGATTCATTACCTCTGCCTGGAATTATCGACAGCGGCGGGCGGCGGCCGGTGGTAACGTACATCAAAGACAGGACGCGTGCGCGCGCACGTCTAACCTACACTAACTGCACACTGAGGTCGTGACCTCGTCACATCACAGCTTTTATAGTCAAACACTAATTTATCACTATGTCTACTTGACGATCACGAAGATGTTGTTCAATATGTCCACCTTGCACCTCTATACATTTGTGACACCGACTTGTAATGTCTGAACGCACGCGTTGCAACAGACATTTCGGACTTTATTTTTTCAAAGGCTGCGACTATACGCATACGCATTTCTGCCTCGGTATCGCATGTTTTTTGGAATACAGTCTGCTTAATCGTACCTCACAGATAAAAATCTAAAGGTATGAGATCAGGTGATCGCGCCGGCCAGATGACCGGTCCACCGCGGCCAATCCATCTTTCACCGAATTCAGTATCCAAAAAACTTCTACATGCGACGAACGAGGTCTAAATTTATTTCGTCAAGTACATTGCTTAGTTCTTCTCGCAAAAAACGTCCGTAGTTTTCACCGCTCATTGTGTGGTCAAGGAAATACGGACCAATAATTTTGTCACCTATAATTCCCGCCCACACATTGATTTTCCATCGTTGTTGAAAGTGGCTTGGTTTATACGAATGCGGATTTATCGTTGACCATACGTGTTCATTATGAGCGTTAAATACACCTGTTCTTACAAAAGAGCATTCATCCGTAAAAAGTACGCGGTTCAAAAACTCAGGATCTCCTTCAACCTTATCAAGTAACCATCTACAGTAATCCATTCTCGGCTCGTAGTCGTTGGGAAGAAGACACTGAACTCGACGATAATGATACGGGTGCTGGCCATCATCTTTGAGGGCTCTCCAAACGTGCATATGGTTCACACCTAGTTCACGTGCCACCGAGCGCGTGCTTCACGTTGCATCTTCCTCAAACATGTCGAGAATGTGCTCCTCGATATCGTCGTCGTCGTACATCCTCGGTCTTCCTGAATCTGTACGTTGTTGATCACAGCCATGCACACTGCCAGTATTGTACATACGAATGCGAAGTCGTTGAAACGTCATCGCCTACGGCAATTGTATATTTGGTGGAGTAGCAAAGCACACCCCGTAAAGTCTTCGTGCTGCTGCATAATTGTAGTTACATTTCCCGAGACACATCAACATAATAAAATAATTCTCGTTTGAGTAAGACGTCGCACACAAGTCACTCACGGCGGAATATTAATTTCGCAAAAAACACAACCGTCAATATCAGTGCTAACGCGCTACTGGTGTTTGATGCTTGTTTGTTTGCATAGACGTGGCAAAGCTATTGTACTCTATAACGTGGTGTATCGATTGGGCGTGTGTTGATATAGACGTGTTATTGTAATTCGGAGCGATTTTAATCTAATTAATGTGCAATAACTGTTTGGATCTTTCTTTGAGTTATACCACCGTGTTTAGTGTATTAAAGTTGGTGAATCTGTGCAAAAGTTATAGCTAATTATTGTGTAAACAAGTGAATAAAACCAAAAAATGTTTTAAAATACATAATATTCTGTTGGTAAAACTATTCAATGCATGGAGTACAAAAGATTGGCCTTTGGACTCACTAGACGCGATAAGCTTGTAGCAAGGAGTGCTTGACCATAGTTAGAACCATTCTTAAAATTCAGGCGCATCGTCGTTGACGGCGTGGTGTAGCGGTGCAAGCATATTACTCATAGAGTGAAGGTCGGAAGATCGATCCCGGCCGAACAAACTTTCTCCCCTTTATTTTTTTTATTTTTTTTTTCAATAATATCAGACTTTTTAAAATATTATTCCGTTTTCTGATATATTTTTTCTAAAAAATGTCTTCTACCACAAAGAAGTGCTCTGGCTGTAAAAACAATTTGCCAAAAAGGGAACATATGGTATGTGTCTGGTGTAATCTCGGGTACGATTTATTCTGTGCTAATATAACACCTAAATGCTTCTACCTCATGGATCAAGAGCGGAAAAATAATTGGAGATGTCAGGAATGCTCTAGTAAACAACCCAAATCCGATAATACAAATACACCTGTGCGCACAACATATCGTCCCATGGTATCTGGCGATGATACCAATGTTGAAGAGGAGAGTAATATCACTGTACGGACAAAAAAACAGCGCTCTAAATCCGATAGTAACTATTCCTACATTAAAGAAGATTCGTTACGTTCAATAATAAAGCAGGAGATAACTGACACCATCAAGCAATTGGTTTCTGAACACCTAGCAAATATCGCGTCTCAGGTGACTGGCTTCCACGAATCTCTAGCATTCTTTAGTAAACAACATGACGAATTTATGCAAACTGTGAAGGAAAGAAACGAAGTAATACAGAGTTTAATTCAGAAAAATGACAATCTATCGTCGCAGGTAAGGAGTTTGACAGAGAGGATAGAGCAAATAGAGCAAAACATGCGTGCTCCTAACGTCGAAATCAATGGGATCCCAGAGCATAAATCGGAAAATCTTCTAAAAACTATAGAGCAGCTGGGATTTGCGATTGAAAACCCCCTCGGTGACAATGATGTTTTGCACGTATCCCGTATTGCGAAGCTCAACAAGGAGAGCGACCGACCCCGCTCCGTAATTGTCAAACTACGTAGTCAACGCCGTCGCGATGAGTTGTTAGCAGCAGTAACAAAATTTAATAAAAAGAATCCTGATAACAAATTAAACTCTGAGCATTTGGGAATTGGTGGACATCGAGTGCCTGTATATGTTAGCGAACATTTAACAGCGAAAAATAAGCACCTACATGCGGCGGCTCGAAAAAAAGCAAAAGAGACCGGCGCCAAATTTGTTTAGGTGCGGGACGGTAGGATCTTTGTTCGGAAACATGAACAGAGTCATGCCATCTATATTAAACATGAAGAAAGCTTGAAACTAATTGTCTAGTGTTAGAATCTCAGTGTTACGATAGATTATCCTTCAAAATGTCTGTAACAATTTACTATCAAAACGTACGAGGTTTGAGGACTAAACGGAGGATGTTCTTAAAAATATATTTATGAATAATTATAGCTTAATTGTATTTACTGAAAAATGGTTGAATAGTAATATAATGAACAGTGAATTTATAGATAAACGTTACGTTGTATATAGAAAGGATAGATCATGCTCAAGGAGTTCAAAGAAAGACGGAGGAGGTGTGATGGTTGCAGTGTCTAAAAATATTCCTTCTTCTCGACAATCAAATTGGGAAAGTAATGCAGAAGATTTATGGGTATCTATTGATGTTAAAACTAACCACACACTCCAAAAAATTTCTATCTGTGCCGTTTACTTACCTCCTCCTGTTTCTTCTGAAACTTTATCTAGCTTTTTAGAAAACTCTACTGATCATAGATATATCAGATAAAGTCATAATATTGGGCGACTTTAACTTAGGTTTTATTGATTGGTCCCGTAAGTCGGATAGTGACCCATGTATTGCAACAAATTATGGTTCGAAACTAGGACTCTCTCTTATTGACTTTATGGCTGTCAATAATTTATCGCAAATGAACGATGTGTCTCAATGTTGATGGTAGAATACTAGATCTAGTTCTATCCAATGTTGATTGTTTAAATGTTACCAAATCTATAAGTATGCTTAGCAAAGTAGATCAAAAACATCCTCCAATTTTGATATCGATCCCAAAATTTGCTTCCGTGTACCTCAAACCGATAATTAGCCATCGTTACAACTACTTTGGAGCAGACTATGGCAATATTGTACCTTACTTGAAGAGCATTAACTGGCAAGTGGAGCTAGAAAAATGTCTAAATGTTAACGAAATGACTAATATATTTTACCACTTTTTAAATATAGCCGTAACATCCTATATTCCTAAAACAAGACTAAACTAACTAAATTTCCTTCGTGGTTTAGCAATTCCCTAATTAAAATAATTTCTGAGAAAAGCAAAAAAAGATTAAAATATTTGAAATATAAGAACCCTCGTGATCAACTAGAATACGAGCTTCTTCGCGAACGTGATCATAATGTAAGCAGTCAATGCCTTTTTAATTTTAAAAAAAGAATTGAAAGCGATATTTCTAAAAAATCCAAAAAGCTTTTGGCGTTTTGTGAAGGACAGGCGCAATGGTGTATCCAATATCCCAGCTATAATGTATCATGCTGATCAGGTCGCAAACACCGGACCAGTTATTGCCCAAATGTTTGCAAACAAATTTTCATCTGTTTTTAGTAAAGTGGCGGCAAACGACGGCGGTGACGTATCTATGTTCAATAATTCATGTTTAAATTCTGTAAAATTAACTGAAAGAAACATTATAGGTGCATGATTAAAACTACTTTTACGGATTTTATCGCGTTTATTTTAACTTTTTATTTACTTTTATTTTTAATTCCCGACGTTTCGGGCGCTTTCCAGCACCCATGGTCACGGGGGACTGAGATGACTGACGTCCCGATGTCATTGTTAAACCCGGAGTACCTTCAGCTTTTTTAATTATTGTTTATGGTCCGATCTATGCAAAATGAACTGACTATGTCCTGAGATCTTGCAGTGGTATGCTTGGGTTTAGTTTTAATTTTATTGATTATAGGATCCCAAGCAGGTGGTAGTACCCAGCCTCCTTCTCTATTGAAATTAGGATGTTTTTTAATTTCAATAGCCTCACGTATCATCCTTGGTAGGAATCGGTGTTCTTTCGCGAGGATTTGTGGTCTATCAAATCTGATGTAATGGTAGGGTCCGTCTAGGATATGATCGCAAACTGCAGACTTCCCGGAACGTTGATGCTTGACATTTTCAAGGGAGATGGCCCAGATGAGATTCCCCCTGTTTTCGTCAAACGTTGTATCTCGGTCTTAGCGTTACCACTGGCTATTATTTTCAATCAATCTGCGTGATATTTGGAAAAATTCAAAGATCGTTCCGGTATTTAAAAAAAGGCGTTATTAATGACATTAGTAACTACAGACCGATTTCAATTATTTCATGTATTCCTAAATTGTATGAATCCTTGATATGTCCAATTACTACGCGTCACTTAAGCACATGTATATCAGACCATCAACATGGGTTTAGGAAGGGCCATTCGATTGAAACTAACTTTGTATCATTTATGTCGTATCTCTGTAAAGAAATTGACAAAGGACAGCAAGTTGATGCTATATATATATATGGATTTTTCTAGTGCATTCGATAAAGTCTGTCACTCCCGCTTAATTAACAAGCTAAAAAGATATGGGTATGTAGATCTTTGCTAGAATGGTTCCAGTCTTATTTAGCAAAAAGACTTCCAGTTTGTGGTAGTGAATGGTTAAAAATCAGAAAGTTATATAGCGTTCTCAGGCGTCCCGCAAGGATCGCATCTGGGTCCAGTCCTTTTTGCTGCCTTTATCAATGATATAACTTTTGAAATACGCAACTCTGAATTCTGTCTTTTTGCTGACGATTTAAAAATATACAAAACAGTAAAATTTACAGTAGACGTGCAACTCATCCAAAGTGATTTAAACAGAATTAGTACATGGTATCAATTAAATGGTATGATACTTAATACTAAAAAATCATATCATATTAAATTCTCAAGAAAGTTTATACCTTTCATGTCCTCCTATAAGATGAACTCTGATACCTTGGAGCAGATTAAAGAAGTTCGAGATTTAGGCGTAATAGTGGATAGCAAATTAAATTTTAAGTCTCACATTGACGCTACCGTCCAAAAAGCTGGAAGAATGCTTGGCTTCCTAAAACGAAATGCTAAAGGTTTTATGTCAGCCAAAACCAAAATAATTTTATATAACGCCTTGGTTCGAAGTCACCTAGAGTTTGCATCGGTGGTTTGGGTCCTCAGTTTATCACTTATTCCCAACGCATTGAAAGCATACAGCGTTCATTTACTAGACATCTTGCGTTCCATTCTTCGGGCATTTCCCACCGTAACACCTATAACGTTCGTCTCAAACATTTCGCAATGATGTCACTTTGTAACCGTCGTGTATTGTTGAATATATTGTTTTAAAAAAAAATAATTTCTGGTGCCGTAGATTGTAATAACCTACTTCAGTGCATTAATCTTAACATCCCATGCAACTATCCACGCCATCCTATTACTAAAATCTTTTACATCCCTGCCAGTAGAACAAACCTCTTAAAAAATTCGCCTATATCAAAAATTTGCGCCGAATACAACCGGGTATGTGTATTTGTTGACATTGATATTTTTCATGACTCATGCATTAGTTTGAGAAAGAAGTTATCTGTGTACCTGCTCTCTAAGCAGGTTCTTAAAATTTCTTAAAATTTTGTAAAATTATTTTGATAATCTGCGAACTATTTTTGTGCTTTGTTTTGTTTTCTAATATTCGTATTTATAATAACATGTCTTAGATTTTAAGAGAATGTTGTACACGTCTTTATTGGCGTACATACCAGGCCTTTGTTTTATGTAAGATTTGCATATCAATGTATTGTGTGTTATGCTGTTGATGTGTCATAATAAATAAATAAATAAAAAACATAATTTGGATATTTTCTAAATCGATAAAAAATTTCGTGATTTTTTTATGTTATTTTTTTTATAATAGTTATAATTTATTTATTTACTTCAGATAGCGTCCGTAAGTGTAATTAAGAAATTAAATTATAGCTAGGATTAGTAAAAATACATTAAAACACTTTTATAACAAGAAACATTTAAAAAATTGTGTTATAAATCCACACAATAACAAATACTTAAACTGTATGGGCTGTGACGGGACCCCCACGTGATCGGTTGATAGTAAATGATAGTCAATACTGGGAAGTTGATAATTGATAGTTTATTGATAGAACGAACTAAATCTAATTTAATGATAGATGGTAAATGATACTGCGAGTACGCGTGACCGGTATTGCTGGGCTCAATTAGCGCACTGACTCAAAATGCATTATTGTAGCGTTATATCGTAAACTGCCGACGCCACAAAAATGTACGTGCTGCAGCTCGTACATGCTCCCGGGCTGAAAGATAGAGAGTCATGAAGATGAGATGAATTTAAAACTAATTACAAGGTGATAAACATTTTGGCTTAAAACTAGTTACATACAGATTAGTACAAAATAAAGACAATAACAGTGTATTATTTAGACACTCGTGTCCGTGATAGTAAACACCGATTGAACCACTGGCGAGGTACTACGGTTTTGTTTTTGTTTACGCGAGTTCTTAAATTTTTCATTTAATTCGCTAGTAATGTCACCATTGTTACACTGCACTGCACTTGTTTGCAACTCTACATCTACAAATTGCACTACACTATTACACTGCACTTCACTACACTTATTTTGTACGTTATAATCACCAGGTAGAGGACGGTGTAATGGTGAATGTCGTGATAGGATCCACCTGCTGCTAACGGCTCAGTCTGTTTCATGACATCAAATTGTTCTCATATGGCAAGCAGTTGTTGTTGGCTGATAGTCTCAAAGCTCGTGCTGGCGTTCATCTCCGCTATCGAGATATTTATTAAATTATTAATCGAAGCGATCTTCGGCATACCAATGTCGGGCTTTAAATTGATTTGAGATGCGTATGGTTTGTATGTATAGAAATGGAAATCAGCTGATTTGATAAGGCAGTCCTGTCCCAGGGTAATAAGTCCGGCGTCACTCAATTGAATAGCCGTAACTTGATCTTCGCATAACAACTTAAAGTAGCATTTATTACAACAGAAATAATAAGTAGTTATTGAGTTTACTTGTTGCAATGAAAATATTTTTGCAGGTGTTAATGATCGTTCTACAGCTTCCAAGGCCTTCATCCTTCTCACACAAACTCTTGTCATTGATCATATAATAAATAGGCTTCTT